AGACATGCTGGGAAACTGGAGCAATCTACACTGATACAGGAGAAGTTCTGCAAGCCACTTTTTCAAAGTGATCCTGTCTGTTATGGGGTTGTCCACACAATCCAGTGAACATGACTAAACACCACAGCAGTTTGCTTCAAGTGGGGGGACTGTATACCACATGCTGGTTATCTCAAGAAAGTGGTTTTTAAAAAATGACCCCTAACACTAACTCTCTGAGTTGTTACTTTTCTTAAAATTGAATTTAGGAAAGTAAGATGATCAGAATGAGAAGTGTGATTAATCAAAGTTCTTTTAGAATGTCTTTAAAAATCCACCGTACTGAGTCCCATAGTTTGAATCATTTTTTTTTCTTATTGAGCTATGTTCAAGAGGAATAAGTGCAAAATAACAGATTTTTATTTCTTTGCTTCTTCTGAAAAAGCTACATGAGCCTCTGAGAGCCTGGCTGGGGATCAGGAGGGGCAGGGCCAACCTGCTGGTGTCTCTTGCAGACACTGGGCAAGGAACCTGGGGCAGACTGCACATGGGCTCTGGAGGATCCAGGCTCTTGTTCCACGATCAGCAGGTGGAAGAGGCCCAAGCAGCACCCTGCTTCTGTGGTCACTTTGCAAAAGATCATTGATCTAGTGTCCACCTCATGAAAATTCCAGTGCTGGCTAGGGTGGGAATCCACAAGCGAGAAGCCCTTCCACATGATACTTAGACACAGAAGGACCCTCGGGAGGACCTTCAGGAAAATAAATCTAACGCAGTTATGATTTACAAATGCAGAGACCAGAACACACCGGAGAGAAGAATTTACAAAAGGTAGGCCTGTGGTTGTTAAGGCCATCAGAAGCAAAGGGCGAGTGACCAACCCACACGGCCGTTTGAGAGAGTATTTTGATTCTGCTGAGGCTAACGCTTCCCAACACGGTTTCCTTCCCTCTGGCCCCATTTCAGAGGGCTGTGAAAATGGGAAAGACTCCAACTCAAGTTGTCTCCGTGATCAGCACACAAGATCAGTGGGCTCTCCGGCCAAGAGAATCATAGATTTTAGCAAAGAAAAACAACAAAAGATGACTGACCTTTGCCCTGGGTTTGCCGGACTGCAATGGCAATTAAGCCCATTTCCTGTGGCATCTCAAACATCAACCTGCAAACGGTGGGAAAAACTGGTCAGCTGGAACAGGGAATGGTGCAGGAGGAGCACAGCTCCGACAGGAGGGGACAGGGCTTGTGTTCACAGTGTGCGTGTGGCCAAGGAAGTGGAGTCGCACAGGGGGAAGGGCTCTGCCCTCCTTCACAGCCTCCGCAGTGAGAATGCCCACCAGAGCTGAAGAAATGCCCGAGGGCACCGAGCCCAGAGGAGGGACAGAGGCACCTGTCGGTGTCCTCAAGACTGGGTCACATGATCCGTCTTAGGAATATTCCACCAAGTTCTTTCTTCCCCCTCTGGTGCATGCACTCTGCTCAAGTGACAACTAGCAATTGCTGACATTTGTTTCTACTTACGGTGAGTTTCTGTTCAAACACCAGTACACAATCACAACAGAAGTTTCTGATTATTCAGAAAACCAATATGGTGGCAATAAAGACGTTTAAAAGATACACCATCCCCTGAGAACTAATTATGCTTTAACTATAGTAAATAAATCTACACCTTCTGAGAACCTGGGAGAACCTGGAGCATTTTAGGCTTTAGTCCTGCTTTTAAAATAGTTTCATTTAAAAGAATACAAACTTCCCTTTGGGGGATCGGGAGGAAAGTGCACCACATCTCCACCTAAGGAGTCAACATTAGCTTTTTTTTTTTTTTTCCCCAGAAAAGACAAAAACACACAAAACCCCTCACTCTGAGAATTTCCTCCAAACTACGCTCTTCATATTTTAACTATGTGTTGGGCCTTTCCTCTGTCTTCCATGTAGTTGCCCATCTGGTACTGAGCACACAGAGCTCCCAGCAAAATTCAAGTCTGCCCGTTTGCAGTGCAGCTGCGAGGGACACTCTGCAGTATTTTCTTCTGAGGTAGGAGAGCGGCAGGGCCTGGAGGAGGGAGAGCTAGTATTTTGTGTTAACATACAGTTTCCAATGATCAATCTCCAGGGCTCCACAGTACCCCTGTGAGGAGAGAGGGGCTCTAAAGAAAGCCCCTGCCCTCCGCAGCTCTCCTTCCTGTCCTACAGGTTAAAGAAATTGCATGGAACTTCCCAAATGTCTGAACTTGGGAAAAGAAGAAAACTACTTAAAAGTAGAGCAAAGCAACAGTGTTCCCCTGACCCAAGGACTCACACAGCCCACCTGCTGGTGGAGCCCAGAGGGGCCCTGAGGACCCTTCACTTGTTAAGGAGATCCCAGGTCACCCGGGGCAAGGCTTGTCTGGTGGGACAGTTGTGCTCCCCTGTGCTGCTGGGGCGGGCACTGGGCACTCTGGGCAAGCCATCCAGGGGCCCGTCCCACTTCCATCTCACATGGAACACAGCCCCGCAAGTATTTCTCTTGGACACCATGAATAACCCATTGAGATGGGGTGTGCCTATGCACTTCTGGGCTCCAAGAATAAAGCGTCCTTTTCTCGTGCTGGACTGCCAGAAAGTCCTGAGGAGTCTTTGACTGTGTGGGGAGTTAACGTTGTCTTCCAGGAACCTCTGCCTTCTAGAGGGTCCCAGCGACCCTTCGCCAGGGTTCCTGAGGCCCAGGGCTTGGGCTGGGGGCTATTTAGCACATTGTGAACAGATTGCAGAGGCTCTCTGGATTGCAGGCAATCTAGGATGTTCTTTAAATAAACAGACAGGAGACGGTCAAATGCTAGCGCTAGTGATGGTGATGGTGGAAGGGGGTGAAGGGAAACAGGGTGGTTCAGAAACCAAACACAAGCTTCCAGAACAAAGAGGAATGATTAAGGGAACACATGCACTCAACTGCTAGAGGTTTGGCAGCAGTTAACAGGGCATATTAATGAGAGGACTGAGCCTGTGTGCCGAAGGCCCAGAGGAAATTCTGCAAGGAGGGAGACAACCGGGGAAGGAGCTAATGCTTAGTTTGAGACAACTGGAGGCCGCCAGATTTATTTGTGCTATCTGAGATAACTCTGGGGGCCAAACCACAAGGCTCGCAGTCAACAAAGAAGCATTTATGAACTTTGTCAATTTTGCATTTCTGAAAACAAAGCTGCCGCAGTTTGCTTTAGCAGAAAAAAGAAACTATGAATGCACTTCCATCCTTCGTAGTTTATACCTTTACAAAAGGAGAGAAAAAAAAAGTTCAAGGTTACATAACGATGACCTCCTGGCCTTGGTGTATTTTCTTTCCTGGCTGGCGAAGGTTCCTGTGAGTGGTGACTGTGTGCATTCACCTTTGTACCAAAGGGGCACCCAAGGAAAGACCCGTCTACATCCTCGAGTTCTGCATCTGGACCTTCCAGGGCCCCCTGGGCACTGAGTGAGGGGGCGGGCTCTGCCAAAGGAAAGACCTGATTTCCACCTGGTCATTAGGATGTTTAAGAGTCATCATACTTAAGAGTCATCCAGAAGGCCAGGAAGAATTAGGAAAAATTCTGAATGAACAAAAGTCTAAATTCAGACCTATTCCATCCACTTGCAGGATCTAAGCCTAAGGAAGAGTCCACATTCACCACAGCGTTGGGAAAGGAAAAATCTGGAAATGACGTAAGGGTTCACTGGCGGAATGGGTGACTGAATTATGGTATCTCAGCTGAAGGAACAATTTGTACTTGTTACAAATGACAGTGAGGAAGACTGTAGAGCAGCATGGACGCCAAACCTGCAATACAATGTTACAAAGAGCAAGATTTATACTTTATTCCTTCTATGTAAAATTCCTAGAAAAGGGAGGGAGAGAGCTGGTAAAATGGTAATGGTGGTTATATTAGGATGATTTTTTTTCTTTCTTAAAAACTGTCTCTAATATGATAGATTACCTTTATTTTATTTTTTAATTGTAGTTGGACACAGTACCTTTATTTTGTTTACTTATGTTTCTGTGGTGCTGAGAATCGAACCCAGCACGTGCTAGGTGAGTGCTCTACCACTGAGCCACAACCCCAGCCCCAGATTACCTTTTAATTTAAGCATTATTTTTAATTTGGGGGGATTAAAAAGCATGGTTTTTAAGTTTATATATAATATCAGTAATTAATTATTCATAAATATTTCAGGGACTAAGACCAAAAGATCTGCTTTAATAATAACCCAGACAATCACCCATGGTTGGTTAATCTGCAGCACTCCACAGCTAACAAGTCAGAGCCTGTTTGATGGTAACCAGTGAGCAGAAATCCCAAAACCAGTCTGTCTGTATGAATGGCAGCCTACAAATCTTTACATTCTCTGACTCAGTGACTACACCTCTAGAACTGGCTCCTAAGGAGTATTCAGATGGGAAAACAAAATAATTCAGGTGTGGAACTAACTATTCATGGTGGCATTACTGATACATTTTGAAAACTCAAGAACAAGCTAAATGGTCCACCATAGAGGGATGAAAAAGCACCTGGGTCCCCCATGATACAGTACCCTGCAGCCCTCAGTGACGTGGGCAAATGCCACTGGACTATAGCAGGTGGTTCACTCAGGGTGCAAAATCCCAACACATCATGATGCCACTGATGTTAGAAAATACACTTTTAAAAACTGCAAGGAACACCACATTAAACATCAAGTGGTTTTCTTAAGGAATTATTTGAAAAAAAATAAAAAGCAAAAAGCGAAAAATAAGTCACCCAGGTAAGTCCCTCTTCTCTTTTTAAGTATATACTCTAGAATTTTTCTCCTTTAAAAAAAAAACACAAAGACATGTCTTACAAGATAATTTCCTGAGGACTAGAAAATTTTTATTTTGGAGCTATTAAAATGACATTCTAGATGAAGGTTATCGCAATTATCGCTATATCCATAAGCTTTATTTTTTTAAAGTCTTAAAAACTGGTAGCATAATATGATTCCCTTTATATAAAGTATGTCTTTATAGAAGAATACAGGGAATATATTAACAGTGGTTATCTCCAGAGGATAGAGGTAGAATTATATGATGCTTTAAATCTCTTCTTTAGGTAATCTCAGGGTGGTTAGATTCCAAGAGACTTTTATTTCCTTTTATTTTTTTTTACACTTTTTCTGGAATTACCAATATTTCAACATTTGGACTGCAGCTATTTTACTATCAGGAAAGAGGCGATTTATAAAAAGATTTATTTAAACTTAACTTTTATGTAGGGTAAGCCTCACCGACCAGTTCACTTGCTGGTGAGGTGCCCCCTCCTCTCTGGAGAGATCATGTGAGAACAGGGCACATGAGGCTCTCCCAGGCCCCAGAGTCGCCTGGCAGCCCCCAGGAAACACGGGGCCATGCCTGTCCTTCACCCATTCCCCATGGGAGGGCAGCACGCCAAGGCCCAGGTATGGGGTGCCCTGGTGCGGGGACAGCCTCTTTCCTAAAGAGATGTGGAGAAGCTTTCTCTGGAGGAAGGAACCCCTCCACCCTCCAGGGATCCCGCTCCCAGGAAGTCCCTGGAGTCTCCATCCTTCCCGGGCCCCTCCGCCTGAGGGCGCCTGGAGTGAGCTGCGCTTTCTGTGTTGTTCCTCCCCCGTTTGGCACCTGGTCTTGGTTCTGCCTTGGTTCTCGGCATGCAGAGAGACACACATTCCCAGGCTGCCCCCAGGTCGTCCACCAGTGGGCCAGAAGAGGGGAGGCAAGGGGACCCTGGCAGTCCAAGGGCTCATGACTTACTTTGGTTTTTAAAACAGTTTGTTAGCAGATGAATCCTCACCCATCACAGCCCCAGGGGCACATGTGCAGCGGGAAGGAAAGAGCGCCAACCCCCAATTCAAAACTAGTCTTTTTTAAAAATATTTTTTTTTAGTTGTAGATGGACACAGTGTCTTCATTTTACTTATTTATTTATTTGTATGTGGTGCTGAGGATTGAACCCAGGGCCTTACGCATGCGAGGCGAGCACTCTACCACTGAGCTACAGCCCTAGACCCCCATCAAAATAGTCTTTTTAAGTGTTTTACATTGTGAAGACCAATCATTCTATTTGTGCAGTACTTTTTTTTAAAAGCTAAAAATACAAAATATCAAGATATTTTATTTTTTAAAAGTTTTCACTTGAACTGTACAATTGATTATTATTA